GTTTGGCCTTACTTTAGTTAAATTAGACCATGAACCATTTATCCTGGCCCCTTTGGGTAGTCATTTAAATGAAATTTCATTGTAAATTTTTAAAAACTAGACAATATTACCTGCCAGGGTCCTAAGTCTACAGTCATTAATCAGGCAAACTTTCCATTAAAGAGACTGGGCCTCAGATAACAGTTGTAAGAGCTTGTCTATACTTACGGCCAGATCGGCACTGCTGCAATCGATGCAGTGGTGTCGATTTAGTGGGTCTGGTGAAGACCCCTAAGTCGATGGCAGAGCGCTCTCCTGTCGACTTCTGTACTCCAGCTCCTTGAGAAGAGTAAGGGAAGTCGGTGGGAGAGCGTCTCCCATCGACACAGTGCAGTGTGGACACCGTGGTAAAGTTGACCTACATTACGTTGACTTCAGTTACGTAACAGAAGTAGTATAATTTAGGTCAACTTACAGCTGTAGTGTAGACCAGCCCTAAGTTAGATCAAATTTGGTGCCTATGCTGCATAGTGGATTGCCCTAAACATGCTATGGATAAAGAACAGGAGTACTTGTGGCACCTTAGAGACTAACAAATTTATTTGAGCATAACCTTTCGCGGGCTACAGCTATGGATGCTATGGATGTTGTTCTACTAGGGAATGAAACTTCAGCTCACAAACATGGACCACAAAAGGGTTGAAACTTTCTTTTTTTTACCGGTTCACATTTTTCATTGCATACTAAATGGGTTTCACTACATAGAGGCCCCAGAGAACTTTGCTTACCACCTGACAGATTCTTTGATATTCTGGATTTCTTTCATCAGAACACCCTCTTGGCAATGGCTGCAGGAACACAAATATGCAGTTAGACAGCAAATGTTTGTTTCCTTTAGGACTGAAAAGTGCATTAAATAAAATAATTCCAAATTCTACCCTCAAAGGTCATCCACAGCTAACATTGATTTTGAGTGAAACCATGTGTACTCATCTTCTAAGGGCAGAATTTAATTCATGCATACCATCAGCTCATGAACAGATAATTCTGCTCTCCCTGCACATGTGGGTTTTTCATTAATGTCCACTGGAGCTTTACACAGGAGAGCAGAATACCAGTGCTGATTGCCACCATACAGATCTAAGAGCAATAGTTTGCCTACGAGCAAAAGAAGCATACAAAAGTAACGGGCCATATTGAGACCTGGTGTAAGAGGATGCAGCTTCATTGATATCAACAGAGTTGCACCTCCTTCCACCAAGTCTGAATTTGGCCCAGAATTATTAAAAAGCAGTACTTGTGTGGGCAAAGCTGTAGTCAGAATGAGGAGTGATTTACGAATGGAACTGTATAAAAAGAACATGGAGAGTACCTAGGGAAACTTATATTTTCTTTGTTACTTCATTTACAGAATGTAATTAACACAGACAGTAAATCATTTATCTGCATTTGAAAGAATCCAGATGGTTTATTTAATTTACATATATTTGCAAACTGTTACCCTTGGGTTATGTTTTCAGAGATTATAGTACCATTCCTTCCCTCTTATTTTGATCAAATCCATTCCTATCACTTGGATTTAAATAAGCTGCAGATCTTACCTTATTATTAGCAGTAAATATTTATATTATGGTAGCACCCAAAGGCCCCCATTGTTCTGGGCAATGTACAGATATTAAAAAGAGACAATCCCTGTCCTACAGGGTTTTTGACCTCCAATGTGTATATAGTTTACCTAGCACATAATAGTGCTTATAATGTCAGAAAGCTTGTCTGAATAGCTCAACTTTTCACTCTAGTTGGCCTGTTATTATCATGGACCTTCCCTGGACTTTATGCTCTTCTCTTTCATTTACAACATTGTCTTTTCATATTAATTAAAAGGTCAGCTTTCTACAAATAGTGATTGAAGTGGTCAGTCACACCTACCAAAAACGAACATAATAAAGTCCAAATGTCTACGCTAATTTTAATACAAATCAGTTCCTGTGGTTGTAATCAAATTAAACTGAGGATCAAACTTACCAGTGGATGAATTAAGCGGAAGGCACTATAAAGGAATTATTTTTATAAGAGGATTTGACCAACCAAGTAAAGAAAGTATACTCATAGTTCAGCATCACAGAAATCAATAGGAAGAAATAGTAGTTTTAAATTGTGTAATAGAGAACCATATTATTTATAATTTCTTCTGGCCTAATCCTGGTTTAGATTTTTATTTTTATTTTTTTAATCTAAATGATTCTTTGGATCCATTGACGACACTGGTAAAATTCCCAGACATTTCAATGAAGCTAGGATTTAGCCTAAAATTAATTGTGCAAACTGGTTAGTTCTTTATTATTATAGTAATTATTGTTATAGTAATTTTATATCATAAACTGACAAAATGCTTTGTAGCTGTTACATATAGTTCATTCTTTGACATATGCAGCCAGTAGTTTACCCAATTCCTTTTTATATCTACATATTAGTCAATTTCAAGATTATAAACCCTTCTGTATTTTCCTCATTGGATTATAATATTTAATATCAAGATAACACAGTTTTTATGTTCTTCAAAAATATGTACAATTATGGATGACTGGGAAAACTAACTAATTACAGAGAATATATAATAAAAGATAACATATGTTCCCAGGACATGAAGTTTATCCCTTGTGGGATAACTTGCTATACAGCTTTTAGTCTGAGTTTTGATAATAAAAGAAAACTGAAAACATTATCCAGTGTTTTTCTCATGCAACTCAAAAGTCACTGATTTATTTCTCTTATTGAGAGTATCATGTGACAATCTGAAACTTTTTACATAATTTACAGTCATGAGAGCAATCCTCATGAATCCACTTCATACAAGAAATGGTAAATCATCCAGTTAGTGCTAATATTTTTTTTAAGTTAAATCCCGTTTTATAAGGTTACACATTTTCTGAATTCTTTCTTGCTGGAAAAAAAAAGTCACAGTCTACAAACACGATGTAGAACTCAAATTAAATGTCTACAGCACTATATCTACAACTACTAGCCTCACTATGGAGTTAAAATTCCAAGCACAATTTCATTCTGATATAGTGATCCATTCTCTCTATATTTAGGTGGCAAAAGTGATTTCTCAGGGTAAGAGTCCCCTAGTCATTTTACACTGCAAATCAATAGTGAAATCTACGGTGTGGATCAGAGTGGAATTTTGCTCATACTGTTTAGCACAAAGGTCATGCTAAAAGTAAAACCAAACGTTGCTATTAAGCATTTGCCAAAACCAAACATTTCCATGGAGCAAAAATGATTCTTCTTTACAAAGGGCAGAATTCTCCACTCAGTTCAGCAACATAGATCTTGCCTCTAATACTATTCTCTCCCTACAAACTGGGAATATCCATTGACAACAATGGAAATCTCCACAACAACCTGGGAGAATGGAATATCAGACTTGATATCCACCATGTGGGTTTTAGGGGAGAAATTTGCCATATGGAAACAATATGGAAGTAGAAATTAATTTAGACACAGCATGAGAAGCAGTGAAGTCAATAGGAGCCTTTCCATTGTCCCAGCATACACTGGAATTGGCCCACCAAATTCACCAACATACAAATACAACATGTGAATGTTTCAGGACTTTCTATTCTTGGTCCCTCTTTTAAATCAATCATTTTGGTTGATGTCTCGCTGGGAAATAAAGTTGAATTGTTTCAGCTGCTTAGGTCTATAGCAGTTGTATGAACTGGGTTTATATCCCCAGCAGCACATCCAAACTACAAAAAAGTCACTTTGCAAGGGCATGGGTAGTGTGGTCTGGAGGCAGAGGCATGGCCTTGAATCCTAGCCAAGGGGAGTATCGAAATCTAATACTACAGGTATTTTGTGCACAGAAACCAGTGGAAGTTTTGCATGCTGCAGAACTACAGCATTGAAATCTTATTGCATTGTGATTCAGGTAGACAGCCTTTCAGTGACATTCATTTACTCTTATAAGGCAAGTAAGAGATTTTGAATGTCTTCTCTTTGTACATTAGTTTAATCCATTCCACTGTAAATATGATATTATTTTCATACAATAGTTATATACCCCACACTAGTGCAATGAAGCCAAAAGAGTGTTACTGTCTTTGCAAGCAATTCTTTGGTTCCAAACTCTAGTACAGGGGTCGGCAACCTTCGGCACACGGCCCGTCAGGGTAATCTGCTGGCAGGCCGTGAGACATTTTGTTTACGTTGACCGTCCGCAGGCATGGCCCCCCACAGCTCCCAGTGCCTGCGGTTTGCCGTTCCCAGCCAATGGGAGCTGCGGGAAGTGGCACGGGCTGCAGGGATGTGCTGGCCGCCACTTTCTGCAGCTCCTAGTGGCCGGGAACGGCGAACCACGGCCATTGGGAGATACATGGGGCTGTGCCTGAGGACAGTCAACGTAAACAAAATGTCTTGCGGCCCGCCAGTGGATTACCCTGATAGGCCGCGTGCCGAAGGTTGCCGAGCCCTGCTCTAGTACATATAGCATTAGTTACGATCATACTACAGGACCTCAGCTTGCAGGGTCCTGTATCTTTCAAAAAGAAACACATAGTAAAAGCATTTGGTTCAAAAATGCTTGCTGTTTCCATCTCACAGCACTTCCAGTGACTAATCCCTAGAGAGACAGATACTGGGGCCATCTCTGGACTGGAGGGATTTGTGCACAGTCTCCTACACAGGGCAGCAAGAGCATCTTCTGCTGAGAAGATTGTGCACAACCACAAGATTATGATGAAATTTAAACTGTGCCCAGAACTGCGGTCAGCCAGCACAAACAGTTCAAACAAGAGTAACTCTCCATGGGGATCCTTTCAGGATAACTTTCTAGCTTGTAGGAAAGATGGTGCAGTGGTTACGACATTAGCCTGGGAATCAGAAAACCTAGGTTCAAGTCCCTGCTCTGCCAAATTTCCTGTGTGACCATGGACAAGCCACTTAGTCTCTTGTGTCTCAGCTCCCCATCTGTAAAATGGGGATAATAGCACTTCCCTACACAACACCCCTGTGATGAGGTGCCCATTACTATGGTAATGGGGGACACAGAAAGATGTAACAGTGATGTGTGAGAGGTTAATGTAGAAGTGAATATTTAAAATGGGATTTGGGAGTTAATCTGCAGTTGCCCATATATAAACATTCATAACTCTCCATTTTCAAAGGGCCAAAGCAAAACCTAAGAATAGGGGCTGTGTGGAACGGGAAATATACTGGGATCTGGCAGAGAGAAGTTACATAGCCACTCTGCCACTTCTTCAAACTCAGGACTCCAGGAGCTGTTGCACCCATATTGGCTGGTGGATCAGTTTGATCAAGGTCTGATTCATCATTGCGGTACTCCCAGTTTACTCTAATATTATCACTGAAATCAAAAGAGACACATCAGCAGAAACTGGAGCAATGCAGTGGTAAATCTGGTCCATAGAGTTCAGGCTGAAATTTCATCCTTAGTTTACTTTGCCATGCATAGGTACTGTACCTAGTATGAGACAGAGAGAGAAAATCACATGTTGTGCAAAACTTGGATTCACTGGTTTGGGTTAAGACCATTTCAACCTCTGCTCTGAATTTCCTGTCCATGAAGGTTTGAGAGGGACATCAAACTTGTTTTCACTTTCAGACAGACTGAATGTGAGTGCAGCTTTCTGGAGGTGACAAGCCTTAATTACAGCCCAGAGCCACACGGCAGTACTTAGCACGTCCACATTTATTAGCTTTTGTGTTACTGATGCAGCAAGAGGGCAGAGCTCTGAAGATATCATGCCTGGCATCATTTGATTACAGAAAACATTCCCAGTCTCTAATCCAACAGACACTTAATCCGGAGAGCATCTTGTGACCCGAAAGGGATCATCTGGAAAGGAATCAAAATTCTGTTTGCCAAAAACATTTATATTAGCTGTGAAAGCCAAACTCTGCAAAAGAGCTAATTGGAGAGCTTCCCTACAGTCTCTCTGCCAGTGTGCAAAACACTCAGACACAGCTCCACCCATCACAATGCTCTGCCGCAACGTTAGGGGCTGTTTAGTGTTCAAAATGTAGGACCGGTTATTTGTAAGGTCTCAAAAATCTGGAAACTTTAGAGCGCAGCAGTCGAATAAAGGATCGTGGGAACATCTCTCTAGACTCTTGTGCTGTGTACTTGAAGTAGTTCTGCGGATGTGCCAAGACATCAAACAACGCCTTTATCAGCTTCTTATCCTGAAAAGGGTAAGGCAGATTTTTTACTGTCAAATTACAATCAGAGTCACCGACACTTAATCACCAATGATTCCATAACGGATTGTTTTAATAGAAGCAATGGCCTGGAATTTTTACTTTCCCATCACTAATGTGGGCTCTCAGATCTGCACAGCTGGAGTGAAATCCTGGTGAAATCTTGCACTGACTTCAATGGAGCCAGGCTTTTGCCCCTGGTCTTTATTTCAATACTAGCAGATCCAAGCATTTACAGAAAGCAGAGTATTGAGTTGAGGTCTGACAGGCAAAATGTGCTTTTTGGGTTAAATCTACTCCACTTGCCTGAGTACTGGGCTCTGTATAAGGTGGAGTATGATGTGTGTCAGAGAAGTGAAATCAGTCTCTCCAATCCAGGGTTAATAACTGCAGGGCCCTCACTCCCTCTTTCAAGGCTGCTATTCTGTGAGCTGAAATAGCCGCCATTGTCTCTCCGTGCCAGTTGTGCAGGGCATTGGATCCAAGTAGATGTAAGCCTATATCCCCCTCTCCAAGCTTGGTCCCACTGCAGCCTTCCAAGATGGCCTATGTGAAGCCAGCCTGGAGATCCTTTTCCTGGCGCTTAAGAGATGCATAGGCACCCTTGTGCAGCTGCTCCACTCACCCCTAGGCAGGGGGCTTCATTGATGCTGAGGCCTGGGAAGGGGTGTGCACCGATAGAGCTAGTATAGAGGTCTTGGAAGGCATTAAAGTTGCTCATGCAGACACCCCAAGAGAGGGCCTCAGTAAGGTGAATCCCATGTAGGGAAATAGCTTCACTAGCACAAGAAACTGTAATTTACCATTCTGTATTAATCTCTCCATTAATTTTCATACCAAAGATTTAATAGAGGAAAATTTACCTTAAGTATCTCTTGATGATTTTCAGATGCATAGAGTCTACCATCCCGAACTATGTCTTCTATTAGCTCCTGGTAATCCTCTGTTGGGGACACATATAAGCATTTGCCTGTTAGACTCAGCTGCATAATCAATGAGGGCCAAATTCTTCCCTTAACACACGAGTGAGCCGCTGGCCACTGGACACAACGGGAAGGGTGGTGGCCGTGTAGGTTCACATGTAACAGCAAACATCTGGCTCTCAAATTAGCAGTCTTTGGTATTCCAAATGACCTTCTATAAATACACTGTACTATTTATTAGGAGGACACAAGCTGAGCTATTCATCATCCATCTGTCAAAGGCAAAAGAAAGCAGCAGCAGCCTGGGACAGCTCTGTACTGTAACCATGTGGCATGCTTCAAACTTATTATGTTGCTAAAGAAATCCACACCAAATCCATCTTTAAATATTCTGAATCTTTTGCTGGCTTCTTCATATAATAATCAAAAACTTTCTTAAAGAGCAGTTACAGTTGATCCAGGGCAAAACCCTCCCAGGCAACAAAAGCCTTAAAAGGAAGGAAACTCCAAGCTAAGGGCAAGGTCTTCCCCCAACCAATGAATTACCCACTGTCGGTAAGACACTGCAGCCAACCAGAGAAGGGCCTTCTGCTCCCAGTGGGTACAGGGAAATGTTACACCTCACTCACGCTGTCTGACAAAGCCTTAACTCCAACCTCACCAACAGTGACACGGGTGCAGAGGAGACATCTGGGGTGAAGCTCTGGCCCCACTGAAGTCAATGTGTGTTTTTGCCATTGACTTCAATGGAGCCAGGATTTCACCCCTGGGATTCCAGGTGAAGGGATGAGATTTGGGAAGTTTTAAGGGTAAGCATGAGGTTGGAGTTAAGGGTGAAGGAGATGAATGTGTGCAGTCAGAGTCGCATTTCCAATTAGGCACAGTAGGCATGTGCCTAGGGGCGCTGGCATTCTAGGGGTGCCTAAAAGTTACACGTGGATGAAAAGTTTCATTTTTTACGGAAAACACGAAAGTCAGCTGTAGGCAAGGGAGGCGCTGAAGATGCTATGCCTAGGGGCGCATAAAGTGTAAATCCAGCCCTGTGTGCAGTACTGTGTGTCCCTCACACAGCCTGACCAGCTTCCTAAGGCTCATCAGATGTGCATCCCTGCCACCAAAGGAAAGATGCTGCTGACAGGAGAGGTTGTTGGGAGGAGGAGGGTTCCCCCCACCTCCTCTCACAGCCACAGGAACGGAGAAGTGGCACAGCAGCCAGCCCCTGGGATGGGGCTGAGTCCTGGTGCATCTTCCATTGCAGGGTAGGAGAGAAGGGCACGGGGAGCATCTCTAGTCCTCTTCAGAAATGCTGGCAGGGAGGGTGTTGCTAACTGCAGCACTCCACTGCCCCAGCACATCAGCCTCCATCAAAGCCTGTGAGCTTCAGGAGAGACTGCACCAAAGGGGAGTTCTTAGCTCCACTCCTACGCTGCCCTCTGCTACAGCTCCCGCCTTCCTCTCTGTTGAGGTTTCACAGGCAGAGTGGTTCACTGCACGTTCTGTGAATCACCATATGCTGCCTTTCTAAACCACAGCAGCTGGAGCTCGGCCGGGTTCCCTTCAGCGGTCGGCTCTCAATCACCAATCTGTGCGGCTCAAGCCCCCCTTTGGAGTTAGTGGGGCACTGGCATGAATGTGCAGCACCAGGGGCGGCGGGTGAAACTTCCCCTGGGGGAGGCTAGCTCTTTGTCCCACCTCTTCTGCCACAGCCCCGCCCACACTCCACCCCTGCTTTGCCCCAGGCCCCGCCTCGGCCCACCACTGACTTGCCACTCACCTCTTCATCAACCCTGTGAGGTCCCCCCTCCACTCACCTCCTCCCTCGCCCACCTGCCGCTTGCCCATCTGCTGCTCAAATCCTCACCCCACTGCTGGACCTCCCCCACCCGCCACGAGACACCCCCCATACGTGCCGTGCAGCTCTCGCCGCTTGCCTCCATATCCAGTGCTCTAAAAAACCACCTCCACGAGAGGCGTAGCTCCCAGCGCTGGGGCACTGTTTACACTGGCACTTTATAGCGCTGCAACTTGCTGCGCTCAGGGGTGTGTTTTTTCACACCCTTGAGCGAGAAAGTTGCAGCGCTGTTAATGGCCATGGTAGATAAGCCCTTAGAGGGGAAGAGGCGGGGGCGGGGGAGGAACCACGGCCCAGGTGTCGGGCGACAGGAACGGCTGTGCTAGGGGAGCCATGGCCTCTCCTTGCCTATTATACCCGCCGCCCATGCGCAGCACAGTTTGAAGGTGTCGGGTCAAAAAGCATCTTCACAAAAGGGCTCCAAACAAAGATGAGATTCCACACCGACAATTTCAGAAGCAGGCAGTTTTTAAGGGGTTTGTGTTCATAGTAAATCCTCTGCTCCTCATTCCTTTGGAGAAAATGTAATCAGACCCCAAAGATCACATCTGGATGAGGTCTCACCCCTGCAGCCGCCTCAGTGTGCTGGATACAGGGGCCTAGAGTGAAGGGGCTCTCAAAGCTCCAGACTGGCTGGGGAAGAATTCCCAGGACTGCCCCCTGCAAGCCCTGGTGTATGGGGCATATGGGGAGCCAGGGCTGGGAGGAGAGTCCCCATAGTTTAGGTCAGCTACAAGGGTCATCATCTGTTGCATGCTGTGGAGCTGCCTATTAGCAGCCCATGCTGTGGAGTATCACAAATTACAGCAGCTCTCAGAAGCTGTTTAAAATAATTTATGCTAGGGGCCAGTCTAGTCCCTGGAGCAACCCCAGAATCAGGGAGCATAAAGGTATCTTAAAGCCAGCTTAGCCCCCGGCCCCAGGCTGTGAGTTTCTGTGCTGCACCTCTTAAGCCATGCAGCACAAATTCTCACTGTCTGTTGAATTCAGGGGAAGATTGTATGGGTTCCTTGGAGATGAGATTAACAAATCAGAATTGAATTGAAAATCCTGATTCAACCTGAACAGTGTCTCATTACCCTCCAACACAATCTAACGATCACCCTTGGCCAATAATACTGCTGTGGAATCCAGCCTCAGGATGACCAGGTTAAAATCTGACGGTTGTACCACTCTAAGCCACCAGTGGTTCCAGTTACAGTGGGACCCCAATTAATGGAACATCATTTCTTCAAAAATCCCAGTTATTGGAAACAGGCTTAAGTCCCCTGGTCCATTTTCAAGCTATCAAGCTATCTAAATCTATAACTATGGTATTGCTAGGACGCCTATTGCTGTAATAACTGCTACTCATATATAAAGGGCCTGATACAACTTCCATTGTCTTCAGTGGGATCTGATCAGAACCAAAATGAATGCCACTGAGTGCAGCAAGACCAAATTTGGCCATGTCAGGGATGAAGATTTCAGTGCGTAAGTCTTTAAGTGTCACGTCAACACATTATTATTTCTACTGTGGTAGCACCTACAGGCCAGGACCTTTTTGTGCTAGGACTTGACAGACATATAACAGACAGTCTGTGCCCCAAGGAGCTTATAACCAAAGTAAAAAATCAGACAACAAGCAGATATAGACGAGGGGTGGGGGAGGAGGGAGAGGAGCACAAGGACACTAAGAGACAATACTGGTCAACAGAATAGGCAGTGGTCAGAGCATGCCAGCTGCCTAACTACTGTTGAGTTTTTGTAGGCAGCAGGCACAGGGCAGTTTTAAGGAGTGATTTAAAGGACACCGAGGTAGCTTTGTGGATATTTACAGGGAGCGGTTTCCATGCATAAGAGGAGGAAGTATGAAAGTTCTTGTTGGAAAATTTTACAAGCTGACAATCAGACTGTCATAATCTGCAGTACGGAGGTGGGAGTTGTTTATGTGCAATTACATTAAGTCCTCCGTTCATCCAACTGCTTGGCTAAGTGAATTTAATGCCAGATAAGCATAGCATCATATTTTTTGTCACTGGAAACACATTGATTTTACAATGTATAAACATGCAAAAACTTTCTATGTTGAGATGCAAGCAAAGTGCATTAAAATAAATAAAAGCAGACTCTAATAGAAGTAAAGTCAGTCAAACTCAATGCTTCGATTGTCACATTTTAAGAAATACTCCCAAAATCATACAGGGATAAGCCCTGGGAATGGCAATAAATTCAGATGAGACAGGGTATTGTTTCTTTCTGTGAAGCTCCAAGTTTCTACAGACTTATCCCATACTGACCCAAAGAGCACAAGTATTCAGGGAGCAAATCATGTCCAATTTCACCTGCTTATCAGGAGACCTGTACTTGGGTGCCAAGTTAACTAACAAAAGATTCAAAGGCTATTCACTGTTACTATTGTAATAACCTATTGCAAAGGAGCATCTTTTCCTTGCATGTTTTTGTGTCTCTCTTTTACACTATTTACTATATTATGAAATTAGCAAAAAAAAAAAAGGCTCTAAAACTTCGCCCAAAATGTTAATTTGCAGTTTGTGAAACAACAGGGCAAAGCACGCCTAGGGCTTTGTATACACTGACATTTTTGCAGCTCCATCAGTGCTAGCAGAACATGAATGGAAGCACTAGCATACACCAGCCAGAAGTGTTTTATCCACCTAGTCATCTAGACTGTCTCTGAGCAGAGTTTGACAACACAGTGGTAAAAATGCCAACGGCCAGTCTACGCTAACATTCTCATGGCCCTCATGTTAGACCAGCAATAAACATAGTCTAAGTGTCAATGCCCCAAACTGGAAGGGTTCCATTTTTTGAGAGTTCTATCCATCTTATAATGTGCTCCACCTACCCTCCAGGGATTGAAAGATTCAAATTCCCACTGTAATATTATACGTTACTTAACACCTGTTAGTAGCAACTTACCATCGTATGTTACATAAGGCACCTGGAATCCTTTGGCACTATTCCCTTCATTCGACTTGAACTGGATCCACAGTTTTTTAGACCTAGATGTGAAAGCTATAGGGCGTTCGTAGGTTTGGCAGGTTTCATATGTGGTCACAGAATTGGAGGAAGCTTCCAAAGAAAATGGACAATATGCAGCTGTCAGACAACTCTTAATAGGCAGCAGGTTTAAAACAAATAAAAGGAAATATTTCTTCACACAACGCGCAGTCAACCTGTGGAACTCCTTACCAGAGAATGTTGTGAAGGCCAAGACAATAACAGGGTTCAAAAAAGAACTAGATAAATTCATGGAGCTGGATCCATCAATGGCTATTAGCCAGGATGGGCAGTAATGGTGTCTCTAGCCTCTGTTTGCCAGAAGCTGGGAATGGGCGACAGGGGATGGATCACTTGATGATTGCCTGTTCTGTTCATTCCCTCTGGAGCACCTGGCGCTGGCCACTGTCAGAAGACAGGATACTGGGCTAGATGGACCTTTGGTGTGACCCAGTAGGGCCGTTCTTATGTTCTTAACTCTTCAGTTACTTAGCGATTAAAAAACACATTAACCTATCATGACAAAAATGCTTTTATGGTAGGAGGATAACCAGAATACAACAAGTTAAATAAGTGCAGTTTTACCCCTCGTTTTACAAGCATTAGTGTGCCGAGATTTTGCGGTTAGTCTGAACTGTTTTGGGCAATAGCCAGAGCCAAATTCTGCTCTCAGCTACAGGAGACCAACTTCCACCCCAAGAGTCTAATTGAAAGGATAACTGCAGTTATTAGCTGAAATACTTTAGGGCTCTTTGCAGAGAAAATTCATCTGGCCTCTGGGAGGTGCAATCTCCCAGACAACAGGTTATCTGGCAGTGTGGCAGGCTGACCGAATCAGGAGACAGCCCAGCCCAGTGCCTAAGAGTATGTATACACAGAAAAAAGCTGTGCATGGACTAGCCTACCTGAGCTAGTTTGAATCCAGCTAGCGCAGGTAACAAGCAATGGAGACAGCGCAGCATGGGTAGTACAAGCGCAGAACAGGCCCTGGGTAGGTGTTCTGGTCACTTGCTCTCTCAGAAGCCTGCACAGTGCTGTGTTCACTGCTTGTTACCTGCACTAGCTGGATTCAACCGAGCTCGGGTAGGCCAGCTTCTGCTGCGTAGACATATCCTGAGTGCAGGCACCGGGGAACCAGAGCTGCAGGAATTGAGGACTTGTTTGTGGACAGAGTGCTTGTGTCCGATCTCCACAATCCCTTAACAGAATCACATCAGTTCTCAGTTCAAGCTTCTTTATCCCACTGGCGCTGGGCAGCTTGAGAGGTGTTACTACAGCCCTACTGTAGCCCGATGAATGGTTTGTGGAGGAGGGGCATCAGGGGAGTGACTGGTCAGTGCAGGCTCTGTTTTTTCTTTACCAGGTGACCTGCAGTTGGTAAGAGGGCCTCTGCCACCTTGATCCCTGTGAAGCAAATTGGAGGCTTGCTCATACCCTGACCATATAACTTGGCCCCATAATTATTTTCATAAAACATTTTTTTTCTTCTTTTCTTTTAGCTTTTTAAAAACATATTGCTTGTGAAATGTGCCAGCGCCAGAAACTGAAATGGTGTCTCCACAGCACATGTAGAATCAGACTCAGAAATGTAGGGGTGGAAGGGACCTTGAGAGGTCATCAAGTCCAGACCCCTGCCTGGAGGCAGGACCAAGTAAGCCTCGAGCATCTCTGACAGGTGTTTGTCCAATCTGTTCTTAAAAACCTCCAATGATGGGAAATACACAACCTCCCTTGGAAGCCTATTCAAGAGAATAACTACCCTTGTAGTGAAAAAGCTTTTCCTAATATCTACTCTAAATCTCCCTTGCTGCTGATAAAGCCCATTACTACTTGTCCCACCTTTAGTGGACATGGAGAACAACTGATCACCGCCCTCTTTATAACAACCTTTAACATATTTGAAAACTGTTATCAGGTTCCCCAGATCTTTTTTAACTCAAGACTATATAGGCCCAGCTTTTTTTAAACCTTTCCTCACAGGTCAGGTTTTCTAACCCTTTTATCATTTTTGTTGCTCTCCTCTGGACTCTCTCCAGTTTATTCACATCTTTCTGAAAGTGCGGCACCCAGAACTTGACAGCACTCCAGCTGAAGCCTCACCAGTGCAGAGGTGAGCGGGACAATTATCTCCTGTGTCTTACATACGATAATCCTGTTAACACACCCAGAATTATATTAGTCTTTTCCTCAACTGCATCACACTGTTGACTCATGTTCAATTTATGATCCTCTATAACCCTCAGATTCTTTCCAGCAGTACTATCACCTCACTAGTTATTCCTCATTTTGTAACTGTGCATTTAATTTTTCCTTCCTACGTGTAGTACTTTGCACTTGTCTTTATTGAATTCCATCTTGTTGATTGGTACAAGTGGAATGGGCCTCAATCCGGATGGTATTAGTATCGGTCCAACCTGGGCAGGGCTCACCTAGAGGTAAAAGCACCCATAATTCTTTACCATTCATCAGCCCTTATAAATGCTATATGAAGGTGTGGAAGCAGACTCCGACAAAGGTTTCTCACAAAGATCAATGGCACATTTCAGCTTTAGGCCCTTGATTCATCTGGACCTAATTCCACATGACGATGCTGTTGGAAAGGATTTCCAAATTCATTGCCAAATGAAACCTATTTCTCTACTCTTTAGAACTAGGCTTTAGGTGACTGGTTTTTAGTTTATGCACCAGGCGTGGAATAAGCAGGAGAATTCTGTTCTTCACACTGAGGTCCATTGGAAAGACAGACATTGTATGGTTTGGAAGATATTTCAGACTTACAACTTTTTCGCATCACCAGGTAGTCTCCACATTCATCTTCTATTGGCAGAAATATTTCTGGAACCACAATCAGAATGCGGCGCTTAGGAGGTGGATTTATAGTCCACGTACATTCAATGTTCGCAGGGTAATTCCCAGGATAGTTTGGGGATTCAACGTATCCAGTAAAATCTCCAAGTTCACCTCCACAGTGTCTATCTGAAAAAGGAACATGTCACCCAGGGCCGGGGCATTAGGAGAGGGATATCTAGAGCCTTCTCTACAGTCATTGTCAGCAAGAGCAACAGACATATGAACCCATTCCTGTTTGTATATGAAACAGGTGCACCCTCTGTCAGCTGCACATCAAACTGGTACCTGCTTTTGCCTTTGTTTCTTTAAATGGTGAGATCAAGGCTGAAAAAATAAAATTAGGAATAGAACTAACTATTAGCACAGAGGCATACGGTGGCTGTGAGGCTACAGTCGCTTGCAAAGGGGATGTAAAACATGACGATGTCAGAGTTCTCCACTCACTCACATCCAGGGTAACATTTTTATACTCAGTTTTGCACAGAGTAAGTAACTACACAGGGCGTAAGGTATTGGAAATTCAAATATATGGTGCACAATGTCTGCAAAAGCTCAGGACAGAGTGACTTCTGCCCCATCCATTCAGAGGGTGCAGTGTGCATGCCCCCTAAACCAGACCTGCTCCATTGGCTGCTGTCAAGGAGATGCAAGGCCATGACCTTGAGTCCCCTCCCTGCCTCTTTTGAAGAAACGAATGCAGAAGAACTGGGATTCTGACTAGCTCCCGTGCAGGATGTTTTGAACACTCTTCTTGTGCACCTGGGCAGGTCTGGGCAGTAGCTGCCTTATAATATTGTTAGGGCTGTGGCATGCCCTACGACTGCAGCCCTTCGTTTATAAAGAGATGTGCTACCAGAAGCAGATATATACGTAGTCAGGGTTTCATCAGAGGATTTTCTCTTCCCCTCATTTTCCTTGCTTTATGCCCTCAGCTTCCCACATTGCAGCCACCACTATTCAGAAACCAACTGGGACTCCCTTTGGGACCTGTTCTGTAATAAGCTGGAAAGGTTACTGTTAAGAAGCCCAGAGAGCAAAGCGAGTTGCCTGAGCAGCATTTCTCCCCCTGCTAGCCCAGGGAAAGAGAAAAGGAGACTAAGAACCCAACCAAATCTCTTGCATTACATGGCAAAGCCAAGATCCACCAGCAGTACCCAAGCGTGGCCCAACGCTCCCAGGGTTGATCTTTCTCATGTGCAGACTGGCAAAATTCAATTATTGATAGCACAATAATACTACATGCCTCATTCACAGAGCTGGGCACCTCAATAAGTCATCTGGGGACGTAACTCATGTGTGGTATAAACAGGTACAACTCCTGTGACTTCCCTGTGGTTATGCCCACGTGCACCAAAGCTGAATTCGATCCCTAAAATACTCGTTTTGGATGCTAATGACTCTGCCCTTTTTCATTTCTAACTGGCTGAGAAATTCATGTGTGATACTTACTTTTACACTGGGTTATGTTTGTTGATCCATCAAAATCAGTAGTGGTGTTTCCAGGGCATGAAATACAATAATTTTGACCAAACTCAGGTTGGTAGGTCCCAACTGTGCAGCGAATACACCGGTGAGTTGTAGTGTTATAAAAATGACCAGGTGAACATTGAACTGTAGGGGTTTGTAAACATGTAATACAGTTACAAACGTGCTATTATGACACTAGAAAGTAGCTTTATATATGTTTTATAGGGCTTATTATAAGCTAAGTAAAAAACTAATGTTATACTTGTGTGGAGCTACAGCAATAAAAGGAAGGTCTACTAGGCTCCTGACTGCATTTCCAATATAATAGCTCTTTTTGTGAGACCACGAATATAGCTCACAGTGCCACACGCTATTTCCTGTCTAGAAGTGAGAAACAGCAGAGAGAAAGAGAAAGAATGTGTATCTGTCTGTCTGTGGGGGAGCGGGGGGGAGAGAGTAAATAACAGATAGTGGAAAAAAAAGAACATTTCATTGAATGTTCCAGCCCCGATGATTTGCCATGAGTAAAACTAACTGTATATACATATACATATATGATTAAGGGGAGGAGGATTAGGCCCTTCATGATTTGTACATTTGTTTCTGCAGGTCTTATGCAACGATTAATGAGTTATACTCCCATTACAACACTGTCTTATTATGGGATACAATAGTCTATATTAGAATCATGCATTATAACCCCGGCCTCCTGGTTACATACGTCTCCTGAACTTTTTGTATGGATGTGGGGCAAAATCCTGCATTGGATTTACATCCCATGCATCTCCATTAGAACCAATTTTGATTACTGTTTGCAAAAAAAAAAAAAAAAATACAATGCTGCTTACAATAAACCTATGATTTGTAATGCAAATGTTAACAAGAAACTCCTTTATCGTTAAAATACCGTCACCACAGGATTCTCATCCTAGGTCACCAGCGTTGGGGCTCAAGTGCCAATTATGTGGGACCTCCCTTAACTCAAGTTTTCAGGGCGGCTTCTGACCCACGTGCTGCCCATTAATCATGCTCCAAAGCATCCCAGCCAATTCCATTTTCAGCCTGGTCATAAAGGACTCCCTTCCTGCAGGAGTTAGTCAATGGTTCTGACTGTTGCGGATCCATCTCTCAGAACCTACTGCTCTTTAGTCAGACCCTAGGTTCCTTTATCCGCATCCCTGGTTTCCAGTCAGCACATAATTAACATTCTTGCCAGTTTGGGTACTTTGGCCTCTGTGATCCCAAAGGGTTGGTGTTGCTATGATTGTGTGACTCCCTTGTGCATCTATTCATTCTGGTACTAAGGGGACCACCTTGCTGCCAGCCATCACTCAGAGACAGTCAGCTCTCCTTTGTCCTTGAGATTAATACCTGGTTTTTCCTATGTTCTTTTCTATCTGTCTTCACAGATCGTCATGACAAATCATTGACCAGGTTCAAGATATCTGCCAGACCATCTGGTAGTCCCAAAATGCCAAAAAACTTGAGATGTAAGAGAGCTCCCACATGATTTGAGCCAGGGTCATGATACTCAAGTTTGAGAATGCTGGGAGACGATAGCTTTAAAGAGGGGACATATTTCGCCTTTTTAAACTTTAGCATTCACAGCAACAGGGACAGTGTTTGTCTCTCAAAGCACTGCAGTTCATTGTATCTCTTCTTGATCTTACCTTTCGTCTCGCAGTCCTGAAACATTGATGCACTGATGTATTTTGTTGTCAGACCTCCTCCACATGGAAAGCAGGATGTCCGGCCAGCTTCAGGTTGGTATGTTCCAAAGGGACATGGCAGACAGGGCTTGAAGCCATCAGAGGAATATTCACCCAGTGAGCACTGATCTAGAGGATGTAAATACACATTAGCATAAACCTGAACTTTATGGAAACTATATCATGGCTGAAAGAGTATTACGCACCCGCTCCCCAGCTGGTGCAAATCATTTGAACATATGGTCATAAGTATGGAGTATGAAAGTCTGAAACCAATTTTATGCAACAAAACATGGGTTGAAATAAGATCTCAATAAGTACGTGGCTGGAATCATTTACAGGCTTTAATACAATGATGTTTGGAATAAAATTGGTTCTGTTTTTGCTACATGTTGCCTCAAAATTGTAGGACAACATTCTAGCCCTTTTTCCTTTTGTCCCCAAAATGGACACAAATGAATGCAGGAAAATGCAGTGCTATTTTGCACTCATTTTCTTTCAGCCCTAATTGCCTGCACTACACGCAACTCTCTGGGCCTGTGACACAAGTAATCAAGCAAGGGAGGCTTCCAGTACAACTCACAGGCAGTACTCCAAAACAAAGTCCCACTCTGATCCACCACTACACAGGGGGGAGAGGCCTACTGAGCTGGAACTCCACAGATTTTAGGGAGCCAGAATTAGGGACAGTAGTTGCAATTCCAGTACAGCGCTGTTCCCCTGCTGCCTGTGGCTTTTCTCATTTAAATGGAAGCAAGAAACAGCACCTGCCCCATAGAAGTTGCCTATTGTAACATCAAAATGAACACTAACTGGTTCACAAACATTGGTGAACTCTTCAGTGAGCCTGGTGTGAGGAGTTTCACATTTCATTATAAAAGTCTCTCATGGGACTAGCCCACTAATAACATTTTTAAGTCATAGAGCTGCAGATTATGTAGACTCTCCTGCCATTTTGTTATTGAGCTCAGAGTCTATAAAACAGGCAGCTGAACTAACCTAGCACTGAAACTATAAGTAGCAGAAACCCAGATTTTGTAGCATTCACAATTTATTTTTATTCTATAAGATGATTATTAATAATAATTAGTAATGAAACAAACACTTTATTACTGTATCACCCTGAAACCCCACTCCAGATCAGGGGCTGTGCTAAACTCCATACAAACACATACTGCACCACAGTCCATGACTCAAAATACTCTTGCCCTCAGACTCTGGGTCTTTGATATTGTCTCCACTCTGAATTGCTTTGCTCTGCTACGGTATGAAGGTAGGATTTACCTCACGGAACTGATTCTCTATAGACCCTGCAAATCCTTTATGGAAATCTCTGAAATAAAATCTGTCTTCAAAATTTGTAGCAAGCAATTGATTTCAATGACAGTGGTAAGTAATTACACTGCTCTGGGTGACACAGAATAGTGCTGCAGTTGTTCAGCCACGCTGAGAAATGTTGTCCTTTTAAAGAGCTGTTGCGATAATAAACAGTTGTTAGTTTTAGTTTATAGCTCCAATAAATCATTCCGTGAATGGCTGTTTTGTTAAGGAGTTAAATTAGCCTTGGCTTCATTTCAAAATATTTGACTAACAACAAAAAGGGCATTAACTACTGGTCATGATCAACGATGAAGAATTTTGTTTATGGCTAACAAATTCAGTTTAATAATGAGCTTCTCCTTAGCGTATTATAGGCAACAGGTAAAGTGATGTTATCTGGCTCATTATACTGAAACTGAATGGTGAAAAATATCATCCTAATTCTTGACTCTAATTTCTCCAACACAAAACACTTTTATCCAACCTTCTGCATTTTATGGATACTCATTCATTTGCTCCTGGCTCTTTTCAAGTCCCTCTTTATTTTATAGGTATTTCTGTGGCACACATCTCTGTAGTGTCTGTGAGCCCCACAAATATTAATGAACTAAGCCTCAGAACATCCCTAAGAGGTTAAAAAAAACCACCACGAACTACTTTCATTTTAATGACAAGAAAAATGATGTACAGAAGAGGTTAAGGATAGTAAGGTTCATTTTGAAAAGCAGCTAGCCAATTTAGGCACCCAGAATCAATGACCACTTTTGAAAGTCAGGCTAAACCACTTGCCAAGATCACACAGGAAGTCTGTGGCAGAGACATCTGGAAGAGAACCCCGATCTCCTGTATCTCAGTTTTGTGACCTCTGAGTACATCTTTCCTCCTAAGTCCTTCTCCTTTACTGGGTTTTTTTGCTGAAGTTATTTTACTGGTTTAAGATTTCATTTTTTAAATCAGGTGTGACTTTTTATTTCCAGACTTTTCTTAGATCTCTAGCTTCACATTATACACCCCCTGAACAAAGTAACGGCCCAACACAGTCTTTAGATACGCACAGGGAGCTCAGTCGAAGCCTTGTGCACCCATCCAAGGACAGAAGCTATGTCCTGAGACCCCACAATGTATGTGATCACACAGTATATCTGAATGAAATCTACTCCACTGGATCTCTTTTTCTCAGTAGCTTTGCCATTTGCACATTACTTGTCTTGGCAAATCACTTTCGTCTGTAGTTATGTGCTGTAAAACCCACTCTGGAGGAAACTGAGTTGAATTCAATATTTCATAATCACATACAAAAAGCAGGGAAATTCTGAGTCACAGCTGTCACTCCATTTTTAACTTACCCCGTTGTTCTCAGGTACTGCAGGGTTTTTGAGTGCTGGGTGATCTTACATAGCACACATGGTTCTTTCAAGGTGAGTGAAGTAAGGAGTGGCAGCATCATTTCTGTGCCTTTGCTAGCTCTGTAGGGTGCAACAGTCTTACCTCCACATTCAGATATACCACGAGCTCCAGTTAATTTTTGGTTTCCTGGGTTCTGAGGACTTGGGCAAGGTTGACAAGTTATTTGTCCTTCCTCATCTTGGTATGTTCCATTAGGGCATAAAACACAGAGTTCTTGTTCCCCATCATAGTATGTTCCAACACTGCAGCTAGCTAACGACAGGAAAAAATATCTGGTCACCAAAATTCAATTTATGTTCTTCAAAGCCAGTAAGTTAAATCGCCAGGTACCAGGTTGCTGAATGACTTGCAGATTGATGCCTTGTACCTCTAAGGCAAATCCACTAAAACAGAACCATGAAAATGCATGGGGCGGGAATGTTCTAGAATTTGGCACAGAGTGAAATGTTCCCTATGAAGAGAAAACCAATTGCTCTAGTATAATGCATAGTGACAGAGACTGCATCAGACTGTATAGACTATTTTGATTTTCAGAACAGATATGGGACATTGAAACATAGGAATTGCCCTATTGTGTCAGATTTATGGTCCATCTAGTCCAATATGCCATGTCTGACAATGCCCGCTGGAGTGCACAGGGTGAGTTCAAAAGGAAGTACCTCTGCATAGCCGACAGCCACACCCATAGGGGATGGTTTGCACGCAGTTGGCCCTGGCAACTCACTCAATTCTCATTGGTGGCTCCAGACAGCTGTGTGTGCACCACTGTGACCAGGAGCGGCGCCAGGGTTTTTGCCGCCCTAGGCGGCAGCGCTCCTCCTCTGAACATTCGGCGGCGGGGGTCCTTCCGCTCCGTGTCTTCGGGGCACTTCGGCGGCGGGTCCCGGAGCGAGTGAAGGACCCACCGCCGAATTTCTGCCCAAGACCCGGAGCGGAAGGACCCCCTGCCACCGAATTTCCACCGAGGACAGCAAAATGCTGCCCCCCGAATCCTGCTGCCCTAGGCGACCGCCTAGGTTCGCCTAGTGGAAGCGCCGGCCCTGACTGTGACACACCCTGAGACCTTACCTCAGCTGGCATACTAAAGCTAGTGAGGGTAGCTATCTGTGACAACAATTAGTCAAAGGGCATGTCTGGCCCTCAAAGTGCACTAAGTCTGCTCTTACAAAGCCGGCAAAAAAACTCCCAAAGGATACCATTGTCAGAAACGGTGCTGGATCAGGAAGAAGGTCATGAGCCAGTTTAAAACCAGGGGAGAGGCTTCAAAGGGCTGACAATGGAGGAAGTACAAATTTAAATATTTTATTTCTGTTTGTTGAACTGAATCAGAAAGTTTAATTTCAACTCAGTTCTATGTTAATCTGTGCCCCCCCAAAATGCTGCCGTGCCTTATGGGAGTTGTAATTCGAGTGCCTCATGAGGTCGCTATTGTCCTCTATGGGCTAGGCTCGCCAGACTACATCTCCCAGGATGCAGCATCACCACATAACTTCCGTGAGGCACCGTGTTGACTCAACCAGATAGGAGACTGTGGTGAGTCAGAAGAGATGTAGTCCAGGCAGGGGGTCTGCCCCACAGAAAAAATGGGAGCACAAGGCACCCAAACTAGAACTGCAGAAGCATGCGAGACTCAGATTAATGTCAAACTGACCCAAAATGAAATGTTTTGATTCAGTTCAACAAATCAAATTATTTCATTTCAGGTCGACCCAACCCAAAACAAAATATTTAGTTTTGAATTTTCCAACTGCAAATCAAAAAATGTCAGCATTTTTCCCAGGGAAAAACTTCAGTTTTGCTGAAACTACATTTTCCGTCAAAAAACATTTTGACAGAAAATTCCTGCCCAGCTCTAACAAGCATGCTTTTTAAATTGTATATGTCATAAAGAGAAGGGGAACATTGTAAACATTCATTCCTTCCCCCTAAAATAACAACAGGCCAGGCAGTAGCTCACCAAGAGCCAAATTCTGCTTTGGTCACATCCCTGCAGTCTTCTCTCTGCAGGAGTGTAACCAAGAGCAAAGTTTGGCCCCCCGCCATCTAGGCTGTGAAGTAATTTCCTGAGCACTCATTCGTGTTGGGGGCATTAATTTCAAAATGGCATCCCCAAATCAGCCTTGCACCTATGTGCATAACCCTTGCCCACTCCATAATTTTAGCATTCTGGCGGTTGTTTTGCTAAATATGATGGAGAGAAAAAATGACATGTTCGGCCCTTTTTGGAGGGGAGATAAAGATTTCACAAAACAAGCCACAAACCTCATCATTCAACTCTCCATCATCCCTTAAGATTTTCATCAATTAAATGACATGGGGTGAAACCCTTCCAGCCACAGAGGCAGGGCCGGCTCTAGGTTTTTTGCCGCCCCAAGCAAAAAAATTTTTGGCTGCCCCCAGTCCCAGCCCTGGGCTCCTCGCCGCACCCCCCTGCTGCCCCATCCCTGGGCTCTCCCCACCCACCCACACCCCCTGCCGCCCCAGCTCTGGGCTCCCTCATTCCCCCTCACCATTGCCCCACACACACACCTCCTGCCGCCCCAGCCCTGGGCTCTCTCCCCCCCTCCCCCACCTGCACCCTCCTTCCGCTGCAGCCCTGGGTCACTGGTAACTCGCTCTCACAGCAGGTCATTCAGCATGAATTTTAGATGTGCACAGAACACAGACAGGATTGGTTCCCATATGGTTACAGAACTGCAGTAAAGTGGAACAATTTTCAGCTTGTGTGATTGGAGGATATCTGGATGCATATTATAAGACTGTCCTACATAAATGAGGAAAAGTTGAGGTGCCTTTATTATTCTTTTCTTCCCCTCTTTCTTTCTATGGGGAATTTGCCAATGCAATATCACTGTCTTCCTTTTAAACAAACAAACAAACAAACACTGTTGAAAATAGCAATTCCAGTCCTAATAACCACTGGGTAGCATTTCTTGCTCAATTTTATCCTACTTTTTCTACAGCAGTTACAGTGGATCAGTATATTTGGTTTGGGAGAAATGAAGTAACAGCTGCCCAAACTGAGCTTGAGCACTCCTGAATTTTGAGGTGTTCAAATCTGGAAGGCAGGTGCTGGGGGGGCGGAGGGGGCTGTGGCTCCGCAGGGGAGCACGGCAGCATGTATGCAGCAGTGTGTCTGGCGCTGCGCGGAGCCAGACATGCTGGTCTGAGTGGCACAGTAAGAGGACTGGGGGGTTGGATGGGGCAGAGGTCCGGGGGGGGCAGTCAGGGGCAGGGAGAAGGGGGGGGTTAGATGGGTCAGGGGTTGGGGGGGCAGTCAGGGGACAGGCAGCGGTTGGATAGGCATGGGAGTCCCGGGGATTTGTCAGGGGACAGGTAGGGGGTGGGATCCTAGGGGGGAAGTTGGGGTGGCCTCAGGAGGGGGCAGTTGGGGACAAGGAGAAGGGAGGCTTAGATAGGGGGTGGGATCCTGGGGGCAGTTAGGGGCAGGGGTCCCAGGAGTGGGTGATCAGGGGACAGGGAGAAGGGGGGTTGGATGGGTTGGGGTTTCTGTGGGGGGCAGTCAGAGGGGGTGGATGGTGGCAGGGTGGGGCTACCCTCCCTCCCTGTGGAGTGTCCTATTTTTTGAATGTTAAAATATGGTATCCCTACCCTTCACAGCGCAGCTCTCCATTCATAGCAGGCTGCAGCATGAGGTCTCAGCTTCCCCACTCCCTCCCCCTCTTTTCTGTTGGTAGTGGCCAAGGGAATGCTGGGAAATGTAGTTCTTTCCCTGCTCTAGGGCTGGCTCTATAGGCAGGGAGCTAACCAAGGAACTACAGCTCCCAGGGACCCTGTTGGTTCTCAGCTCCCATGCTGGATCCCTGCCGCCCCTGCAAATGGGCTGCCCCAAGCACATGCTTGCTTTGCTGGTGCCTAGAGCCGCCCCTGCACAGAGGGGCCACATAGGCCTGAAGTTCAGCAGTATCATTGTAGATCTACTATGCACAGGGTCAGGAAGTACAGAGGCTGTATTAGGAGATTCCACAACCCCTGCCCACCAGGGAGCTGAGTGCCACATGAAGAGAGATTGTAGACACATGTAGGAGTGCCAGGGGCATAGCCACTGCAACTGCAAGCTGCCTAAATCTGCTTATAAACCTCATTTGGGGGGGCTCACAACCTGTAGTCTGTGGTAGTGGCTGTTTAGCTGGTTATGTTCTTACACTGGCACCCATCACTGTAATATTAGAGCAGCCCAACCACACAGCCACCCACATCTTGCCTCCTACAACTCCTGCACTGGGCCCTGTGCAAAGTCCATTTACTCAGGGGACAAGGATTCCACACTTATTCATATCTGATGTTACTAGAAACAGCTGGCTATCTAACAAATCCCTTTGCACAGACTGTGCTAACAAAGTGCTTGATGCTGAGGGGTGCTGAGGATCTACTACTCTCTAGGAACTGAAAGTGCTCAGCACCTCTTGGAGTTAGTTTCAATAATGGTAAAAATGTACCCAAAAAGCGCAGATTGGGAAAATCAAGTACTAAAAAACCTTTTCGCAATTTCTGTAGAAAAATTCATTTCTGTATTTCTATCCACTGTCTCCTCTGAGACATGCCACACGGTGCAAGACTGAAACAGCTCCTGCTTGTCTATGACAGTGATGATCAAAAAATTACATTTTCATGCATCTTTTGCTATTCATTAATCTGACAGCTGCTAATTATTAAACCTAAATATTAGAATTAAAGAAGCACCAACAGGTTCCAAAGATTTATGCCTCCTTGCTTAAAGGCAAGAGTTCCCCAGCCCTCTCAAGTACACAAAGGGTATTTATTCCAGATAACTCTATGTGGATAAATGGTGCAATGTATCAGGCTATTTAATCTCACATAGATATTCACTATGGATCATTAAGAGGACATAGCCCATACTCATCCCCATCTCCTGTTTACAGATGATCTAAACGTGGGTCACTTATCTGCTGCCCAAGAAACTGAGTATGTAGCTAAACAAAAAGCTTTGTTATCCAAGGGACACAGATCTTTCTTTAGGCTCAATTATACATTCCTTTCTCATGGCAAGTAGTACCTGACTACAGAAGTCACCCAGAGAATTCAGTGGCACTATGTGTGTAGTAAGAATGATACAACTAATCCTCTAAGCAGGAAACCTAAGAAAAATGTTAAACTCAAATTCTTTTGTGCCAATGTTTGCTTAAATAAAGCTAAAAAGTTTGATTTTCATCTCACAAAACCACAAAATGGAAGGTGCCTCATGACACATGGGAAACACCCAGTTTGAA